GGGAGGGAGGGTGCTGACGCCGGGGGAAGTGCCGGGAGGTGGGTTGTAACGGCTCTGCTCCGGTCAGACGTGTTCCCGGCGTCTGTCACCGCGGACCACGCAGTCATCCACACGGGGGGGGGAATCTGCAGACAGCCAGAGCTCCCCATGGTGCCAGGACTGTGGGGAGCAGCCTGTCTCCCCGGGGTAACTGGGGCCCCGGGAGGCCGGCCTCCTCAGCTCCGGGTGCAGGCCCCTCCCCACCCCCACATTGGCCCTCCGCCTGCGTGTGCAGGGCCCGGGGTGCATGGGCCTAGGCGCGGGATTCAGAGCACTCCCTCATAGTCCTGAATGTGAGTCACCAGTGAGAGTGGGGGCGGGGGGAAGGGGCGGGATTAGGACGTGGGCTTGGGGGCGGGGTTCAGAGGGATAAGGGGGTGGGGTCTCCGGGACCCGCCAGTGTAAGCACTCATGCAGCTCAGACAAAGCCTGGGACGGACCCTCTGCTCCGAGGCTTCGAAGCCAAGCCGTCAGAATTCATGTTCATGACACGATACCGGTTCAGGCGCAGCTGCAGCTGAGAGTTTTATGAGGAGTTCTCGCCTGTGGCCGGGTCGGGGCCCCTGGGACGAGGCCCAGAGTTCAGCCAATCTGCAGAGCGAGTTGGTGGGGTCTGCGTGTTGCACACCCTCCTGTCCACAGGGTCCAGAACCCCGATGACTGTTTTGTGCAGATTAGTTCCCGGGTCCCTGTTGACTTGGTGGCGGCCTTCCCAGAATTCCTGAGAAGCGCCTGCAGCCTTATCTTGCCAAACCCGAGCCCACTGGCTTCTCTGCTCAGGGAGGAAACAACCCTTTACTTCCCCTTCGCTCCCCCCTCCCCCGCATCCCCTCCTCAGAGGTTTTCCCCGTGCTCTGTGCTGGGCTGGGGGGACAGTGGCTGTGGGTTAGGGGTTAGGGTTAGGGTTAGGGTTAGGATTAGGGTAGGGTTAGGGTTAGGGTTAGGGTAGGGTTAGGGTTAGGGTTAGGGTTAGGGTTGGGGTAGGGTTAGGGAAGGGTTAGGGAAGGGTTATGTTCCCTCCTCAGAGGCTTTGCCCTGTGCTCTGTGCTGGGTTAGGGTTAGGGTTAGGGTTAGGGTTAGGGTTAGGGTTAGGGTTAGAGGGTTAGGGTTAGGGTTAGGGTTAGAGGGTTAGGGTTAGGGTTAGGGGTTAGGGTTAGGGTTAGGGGTTAGGGTTAGGGGTTAGGGTTAGGGTGATGGTGAGGGTGAGGGTTAGGGAAGGGTTAGTGTTCCCTCCTCAGAGGCTTTGCCCTGTGCTCTGTGCTGGGTTAGGGTTAGGGTTAGGGTTAGGGGTTAGGGTTAGGGTTAGGGGTTAGGGTTAGGGTTAGGGGTTAGGGTTAGGGGTTAGGTTAGGGGAGGGTTAGGGAAGGGTTAGTGTTCTCTCCTCAGAGGCTTTGCCCTGTGCTCTGTGCTGGGCTGGGGGGACAGTGGCTGTGGGTCCAGGCTGGCCGCTCACTGCTCACAGGGATGGCCTGGTTCACTTCTCTCCTGCCTCAGCGTCCCTTCCCCCTGCCTGTCACAGCCTCGCTTTGCTATTTCACTGGTTGTTGCAATGGAAGATGGCTTTTCCTTGAATAAAGAGACAGTAGTAATTTCTTTACACATGTTTTTATTGTTTTTTGAGAGAGAAGAAGGGAGAAGGGGAGAGACACAGAAACATCAGTGATGAGAGGGAATCACTGATTGGCTGCCTCCTGCACGCACCCTACTGCCCTGACAAAGATGTGGAGCTGTGACCCCTGGTTCATAGGTCGACGCTCAGCCCCAGAGCCCCAGCTCAGCTCAGTGTAAAGCGCCCCGTTCCCGGAGACCGGACAGTACCCGTGTGTCCACTGAGAAGTTACTTCCGGGGGCGGGCCGGGCGCCACACCCCACACTCCTGTCATCTGGGCATCTCGCCTTCGTGCCCTCCTGGGTGGCCGGTCCTCCCTGCGGTCACCGCTCCGGCCTGGCCCGGACGCCCTGCACGCGGCGGCTCCGGCTGCGGCTCTCAGAGCGGTTCCCTCGGGGTTCCCAGGACAGCCGGGAAAGCCCGCTGAAAGCTCCCACCCGGGAAAGCTCCTCGTGGCCTGTGAGCTCTCAGTGACCGAGCCGGAGGCAGGATCTCCCGTGGCGAGCAGCGCCGTCTGCGCGGGGAACAGCGGGCTCATTAACACGTTTGCACTCGTCTGAGTGCTCCCGGACCCCGCACCCCCGCGGGCGGCCTGTGTGGTTCCTGTAACTTACGGGAAGGGCAGTGCGTCCCGTCCCTTCACACTCTGGGGAGCGGACACTCATTAGAGCAGCACAGCCGTCCCTCGGAGCTGTGCCTTCCGCGCAGGTCCTCGGCCCGGCTCTGGGCCGGCGTGGTGTGTCCCTCCGCTCTCTGCCGTCCTCCGAGGCCTCACGCGGAGAGCGAGGCAGGGCGGGGCGGGCTGCACTTTGTCCTGATTCCCAGCTGTGCCTCCTGCGGTCCGAGGCTGATTTCTGGGTTTCCTTCTTGGCGTGCAAAGGACTGCCGAGGACTGAGCCCGCGCTTGCCGCCTCCTCAATGCCGGTGGTGACGAGGCGTGTGGTTAGCGTGTTGGTGTGTCACCACGAGGTTGCTCAGGCGCGGGGAACGCGGCCAGCAGTTCGGCTGCATCTGGACGGTTAGCTGGTCTCCCACAGGAGCCCCCAGTAATGCAGGAGACGGCGGGGCCACCCCTCGCAGTGAAGGGCACCCTGAGGGCCAGGTCACTTTAAGATCTTAAGTAATCATTTAATTTTTTATTTTAAAACCAGTTGACCACTCATAGTTACATTAACCTGACATGAGGTTCAGGGCCCCCTGTCTCTGTTGATCTGTCTGCTCCCCGAAGACACAGGAACCCAGTAGCATTCAGCTGCCGAGTCAGTGTGCTCTCCGCGGCTCGGAGCGTCTGCCTGGCGAACGGAGGAAACGGCAGCGCGGGCGGGGCGGGTGCTCCGGCTCCGATGATGGATTCTCGCCCGGTGTTCACAGCACAGGACGGAGACAATTACTTCTGCCCAAACTGCTCAGCTGAATAATTGAATGTTTTTCTTGAATGTGTGAGATGATTTTTAAAATTGTTCATCTGAGTCCACGGCGGCAAATTAACGCGATCAGAGGATCATTTTTATCCTCTCTCCACCGCCCTCCCGCCTCCAGTCCTCTCGGTAATGAGCCTTTAGGAAGTGCGGACCCACGGGTCGAGGCACCCCCCCTCCCACGTGTGTCAGAGAGGGGACGGCTCAGTGGTGAGTGAGTGCGGGAAGGCACGGGTTCCTGTTTGCTTTCCTCCCCCTGTGGCTTTCTGTCCCTGGGACAGTTCATGTCCTGCAATTATTTACTCGGCACTGACACCTGCAACTTCGTCGTTCAATTAAGGAAATTCAAAATCAGTCCGTTAACCTGGAATGGAAAAGGGATTGATGGCTGTGCTGTCAACAGGCCCATCCCAGGGCACGGGAGGGGCCGTGTCACATGCACACGGGCCCCTGGAGTAACACGGGAACATGCAGGGTGCGTGTTACACGCCCGTCTGACCCCTCCACACACAGACCCCTCACGGCTCCCGCATGGCAGGGGGAGGGGGTTGGGGGCGGGTGCCGGGCGTCAGGAGTGTTTCTAAGTCGGTGTCTCCCTGTGATGTGATCAGACCTCTCCTCCCCCAGCAGCAGGGGTCGGCCGTTTGTTTCTCCCAGACCCAGTGTCGGTGTATCCGTGGCCGCACAGAGCCACGGGGCCACGGGGCGGGAAGACACATGTGGCGGGGTTTAGCAGGCCCGCCCCTCCAGGCACCCATTTCCTGCGCCGAGAGGCAGCGACTCGGTTTCCACAGGCCCTCAGGGAACCACGCCCGTCGTGCACACGTGGGCCGGGCCTCCGGTCACGGCCACGGGACAGACACACCGCCTCCTCGCCTGGTCCCTCTCGTGGACTGTGGGGGCTGGAACGCAGCGATTGGCGCTCAGAGCTCCTCGCGGCTCGCGTCCCCAAGGCGCCCTTGGGTGAACAGAAACACCTTTCAGGTCCATGGAGAAAACAAGAGCCGTCTGGGGGCGGCGGATCCACGTCGGGAGAAAGCGTTGTTGTTTTAATACATGTTTTCTCATTCAGAGAAGAAGGGAGAGGAGAGAGAGAGGGAGAAAAATATCAATAAGGAGAGAGAACCATGGATCGGCTGCCTCCTGCACACGCACCTCCTACTGGGGATGGGGCCTGCGCACAGGCCCGTGCCCTGACCGGGAATTGAACCCTGACCTCCTGGTTCATAGGTCGATTCTCAACCGCTGAGCCGCACCAGCTGGGCTCTCCATCATTATAATGCTCACCTATTGTAAGCATTTCCGGGCGACACGGGGAATGGAAACCAGTCACCCCGGACCAGGCCCAGGTGTAGATAACTCCTTCCTCACAAACCTATTTGGTCCCGGTCTCTATGTAACGTAGTGTTTCCTGCTTTCCTCCAAGTATGCATACAGGCATGTTTCCCATTGGCTTTTAGGGAGAGAGTGGAGGAGAGCGGGGAAGACAGAGGGGAAGAAACATCGATGTGAGAGAGACACATGGATGGGCTCCTCCTGCGTGAGCCCTGATCAGGGCCCGGCTGGGGAGGAGCCTGTGCCCTGGGCTGGAATCAAACCCGGGGCCCTTCGGTCCCTGGGCCAGCGCTCTGTCCACTGAGCCACACGGCCTGGGCAGACTTTTCCTGCTCTCCAGGGGCCTCGGGAAGTGAGCATGTCCCCGTGATGCGTGGAGATGGGGGCGCGGGGCCTCTGTCCCACTGCCTGCGCCCCGGAGCGTGGGCGTGGCGGGTCCTGGCGTGCGGGTCCCTCTCCGAGGGACGTTTCTGCAGTGACGCCGAGGTTGCGGGCGGGCGGGCGCTGGGAGGGACCGGCCCGGGGTCGCGGGCGGGAGCGGCCCGTGGCCTGGCCTCCCGGGGGCGGGCCGGTGCTGACGGGCCTCTCGTGTCTTGCAGCCGCCCTCTCCTACGCCAGCTACAAGAAGGCGCCGCCGCCCGTGCCGCCCCGCACCACCTCCAAGCCGCTCATCTCGGTGACGGCCCAGAGCAGCACCGAGTCCACGCAGGACGCCTACCAGGACGGCCGCGCCCAGCGGGGCTCCCCCTGGGCCCCGGACGGCCGCGGCCTCTACAACTCCACCGACAGCCTGGACAGCACCAAGGCCCTCAGCCTGGCCCTGGAGACGGCCGCCCAGCGCCACGCCGACGGCCCTGGCCGCGGGGACACGACGCTGGCCGCCAAGGCCGAGGACTTCCTCCGGGGCCGGCTCGCCTCCATCGGCGTCCAGGTAGCCGCCCGCGGCGCCACGGGAGCGCGGGGCGCGTGGGGCAGGCACGGCCGGGCCCGGACTGGCGGAGCCGCGGCCTCGGGGCTGGGACGCCGGGCGGGTCTCGCCCCCAGTGGCAGCCGCAGGTGCCTGGACATGCCCCCTCCCCCACCCCCAGGCTCCGTCCCTGACCCAGCCCGCCCTGCTGCCCAAAGGCCCCTTCCCTCTCTTCCCCTCTCTGCTCCTCCCCTCCCCGCCCCTTCCCTACCCAGGGCCGTGGCTGGCAAACTCATCAGTCCACAGAGCCAAACATCAACAGGACAACGATTGGCATTTCTTTGGAGAGCCACAGTTTTTAAACTTAAACTTCTTCTAACGCCACTTCTTCAAAACAGACTCGCCCAGGCCGTGGCATTTTGTGGAAGAGCCACACTCCAGGGGCCAAAGAGCTGCCTGTGGCTCGCGAGCCGCAGTTTGCCGACCACGGGTTTAGGGGCCACCGGCCACTTAGAGAGTGAGGAAGGAATTTCTTGTCCTGTTTTTGCAAAGCTTGTTAGCCTGTCAGCCAGCGTGGGGGCCGGAGGGTGGGGGGCGGGAGGGATGGGGGGAGCTTTGGGAGCCCCAGACAGAGAGAGGAGGCCGTGGCTGGCGCCCACACCCACGTGGGCCTCCCAGGCTTCTGTGTCACACAGGACACTCCCGGCTTTTCTGTGGCCACGGCCAGTGCCACGGCCTGTGGTGTCAGACCACGAACAGCCCCGCGCCCGCCCAGGACACAGCCCTCGGTGCAGGCGGCCCATCTGGCCCCGGCTCTGTCCGGGGCAGGCACGGGGCACACACCTAGGCCGGGGTCCCAGCCCGGGGCTGCGGGGCCGTGGCTGCCCCGGAGACTCCCCTGGTCTGTCCCCGTGGCCGCCCCTTGCTCACCGTGCCGTGGGAGGAGCCGCTGCCGCCCGGGCAGACAGGCTCTGCTGACTCCGCCTCGCCCTGCCTGGCCTGAGCCCGGCCGGTGGTTTAGAATCGGGGCTCCCTGCGGGCCGAGGGCGCGGTATCCGGGATGGGAGCGGCGGGAGGCCCCCGGCCGGGCCCACACCCTGGTTCGTTGTTTTGTTTAGGATTCTGAGTTCCCAGAGCGTCAGCCTTACCCGCGGTCGGATGTAAGTACCAGCTCACAGCCCCGTCCGCATGACCTCACTCCCCTCCTTCCCCGACGCCACTGACGGCTCCGTCACCCGTCCTGACGCTGTGCCCTGCGGGGACCTCTCCCCCCTCCCCCCTCCCCCGTGTGTGATCCCGTAACTTTCTGTGGCCACAGCACAGCCCACGGGGCCCTTGAGGTCGTGGGTCACGTCCCAAGAGAAGAATTGTGAGGTCCCCACTCCCCGCCCCATCACCCAGGAGCTCCTGGTGCCTCCTCTCGCCCCGTCCCACCACCTGCACCCCGCCCTCGAACACAGTCACCCTGCCCTCTCCCCAGACGCCCTCCTGGATGCCGACCCCCCGGACTGTGTGCCATGCTGGTCGGCTCATCCCTCCCGTCTCTCAGCCACTGGGCGGCTAGCTCGGTGCGTGGCACGTGGCGTGTGCTCGGTCCGTGTCGGTGAGTGACTGGGAGTGGCCGGTGACGATGAGTGTGAGCACAGGTGCACGTGTGTCAGGGGCTCTGAGAGAAGGGCGCGGTCCCTGTGAGCTTGCGGAGCAGCGACGGGCAGGCTGCGGGCGTTCCCGGCCCGGAAACACTGCCTCCGCCTGGGGGTTCCCCCGGTGGAGGTGATGGGGCTGCCATCGGGGAGCAGAGAACACCGGCCCGCCGGTGACGGGGCCCAGCAAGGACCGGGCGCCACTCCACGTGCCCGCCCACCACGTGCCCCTCCATAACCCCGGCGCTGTCGTGGGGAAACCGAGGCTCGGTGACTGACACGCCTCAGGGCTTGTGGCCCGCGGTGTCCAGGCCTCGCTGAAGCCAGGAGGGCCGGGTCTCGCCCCCCACGGGCCCCTCTGCGTCCTCAGGAGGAGGTGATGGCCGTGTCCCCAGGCCGCACTCCGGGAGGGGGCGCTGGTCCCGCAGCTGGCAGAGACGCTTGGCCTCGCTGGGTGGGCAGTACAGCCTCACCCCTGAGCACAGCGGCCAAAGCTGGGGGAGCATGCCCCCCCCACACACACACACAGAGTCTCGGGGTGGTCAGTGTCCCTCCCGGAGCAGGGCACACCCTGCAGGAGCCCAGGCCCTGAGCGAGGCTGAGGGAGGCCCTGGCAGCCTCCCTGCCATTCATCACAGGCCCCTCCTGCCCGGGTCTGCAGGGTTGGATGTGGCGGACGGGCCGTGGCTGCGGGGCCCTGGAGTCTGGACTGTGGTTGCCAGTATTATGCGGTGGATGGGCCGTGGCTGCCGGGTCCTGGAGTCTGGACTGTGGTTGCCAGTATTATGCGGTGGATGGGCCGTGGCTGCCGGGCCGTGGCGGACGGGCCGTGGCTGCGGGGCCCTGGAGTCTGGACTGTGGTTGCCAGTATTATGCGGTGGATGGGCCGTGGCTGCGGGGCCGTGGCTGCCGGGCCGTGGCTGCGGGGCCCTTTCCCAGGTGCAGCCCGTCCAGTGTCCACCATCCTGAGCCCCTGCCGCCCCTTTCACTCTCCTTGTGGCGCTCAGGACATCAGCTGGTTTTTTGTGTTTGTGTTTATGTGCAGCTTTGTTGTTGCGGAGGCTTTACTTTGTGTGTGTGCGTGTGTGTCTGTGTGTGTGTGTGTGAAGCTGTCAGAAGGGTTGACAATGCCCAGGCCCCACAATGGGGCTAAGTTCAGAGCCCTCCAGGCACCTGCCTCAGCCCATCTCTAGGTGGGAGCGACTCCCGGTGCCTCCGCAGGGGGAGCCCGCGAAGCCTGGCGCTCTCCACATGGGAGACCCCCCACGTGGGAGGCCCGTCAGCCAGCGCCGAGCCCCCCACAGTGCGAGTGGGAGCACCTCGTGGCCCGCGGACCTGTGTCAGAGCCACGCCTGCCTGTCTGCGTGCAGGCCGGGGACGTGGCGAAAGACTGAACAGGGCTGAGACTGAGCGGGGCTGAGGGTGAGGGGCTGAGGGTGAGGGGCTGAGGGTGAGGGGCTGAGGGTGAGGGGGCTGAGGGTGAGGGGCTGAGGGTGAGGGGCTGAGGGTGAGAGGCTGAGGGTGAGGGGCTGAGACTGAGCGGGGCTGAGGGTGAGGGGCTGAGGGCGAGGGGCTGAGGGCGAGGGGCTGAGGGTGAGGGGTGAGGGCGAGGGGGGCTGAGGGTGAGGGGCTGAGGGTGAGGGGCTGAGGGTGAGGGGCTGAGGGTGAGGGGTGAGGGTGACGGGGCTGAGGGTGAGGGGCTGAGGGTGAGGGGCTGAGGGCGAGGGGGCTGAGGGCGAGGGGGCTGAGGGTGAGGGGCTGAGGGTGAGGGGCTGAGGGTGAGGGGCTGAGGGTGACGGGGCTGAGGGTGACGGGGCTGAGGGTGAGGGGCTGAGGGTGAGGGGCTGAGGGTGAGGGGCTGAGGGTGAGGGGCTGAGGGTGAGGGGCTGAGGGTGAGGGGGCTGAGGGTGAGGGGCTGAGGGTGAGGGGGCTGAGGGTGAGGGGCTGAGGGTGAGGGGGCTGAGGGTGAGGGGCTGAGGGTGAGGGGCTGAGGGTGAGGGGGCTGAGGGTGAGGGGGCTGAGGGTGAGGGGCTGAGACTGAGCGGGGCTGAGGGTGAGGGGGCTGAGGGTGAGGGGGCTGAGGGTGAGGGGCTGAGGGTGAGGGGCTGAGAGCACAGAGTGGTGGCCGAGCTCGGGAGCTGCTGGCCCGCCCCCAGCACCCGGCCAGGTCCCTCGGACACCAGGGGCTCAGGTATCAGCTCACCAGCCCTGACGTCCTGCAGATCCAGGCCGCACACGGGATGGGCCCAGGCACATGGGCCTGTCCTAACATGCACACACTATACACATGAGGGCACACTCATGCGCACATACATGCACAATCATGCCCATGTGTGCGCACACATGTATATGCAGGCACACACACACACTCTCTGGCCCCCCACACTCCTGTTTCTTAAGCAGGTCAGGCTCGGGACTGTCCTCCCTCCCCCCTGCCACCAGCATTCACCCAGGAGCCTCTCTGACCATGGCCGGGTGGGGGGACGGGGGAGGGCTCCGGGTCCGAGGGTCCTGCACAGCCTCTGCGAAGGCGCCCGCTGCGCCCCGGGGGGCGGTCCCCACACATTAGGGAGCCTCACACACAGCCAGGTGGCGCTCACTCAGCATGTGGGGGTTTCACCGACTCCCCTTCCCCCTCTGTGTCCCGCACACGTGGGTCTGGTGCACTTGAAGACACGCATGTGCTTCTCAAACTGAAATGTGTGAGCATCGCCCTGGCGTTCCTCCTGGCAAAGGCCCGTTTCCTTCCCGCCGTGAGGGAAGCTCCTCTCCGGGCGCTGGTGCTCCCGTCGGCGGGAGGCTGCCGCGCCCCGGCTCTGAAACGGGGGCCGTGAGCCCAGGCCTGTGCGGTCCATCACACCCCCTCACACCCCTCCTCCTCCCTCCCACGGCATTGCCCCGCTGTCCGAGCCCCCGGGCCCGACACGCGTGGGGCTGGCTCCGAAGGCAGGGCCCACGCACCTCCAGTGAGCAGTCCATGCCCTCGTGTCTGAGATCGGAGGGAATGGCCGAAGGCCTTGAACCCGCGCCCGGGTCTCCCAACCTTCCAAGGCCCAGCCAGCCCCGAAGGTGACCCTTTTCTCTGTGAAAACAATGGAATCGGCAGGGAGAGCCATGCCGACTGGAGAAGAAAAACCCCGTGATTGTGTTTGGCTGCGTTACACGGTGCGTGTGAGCCTGTGAGTGTGTGTCTGCGGCTCAGTGTCCATCCACATCGTGTCCTGAGCTCCCGGTGGTCCAGCCGTGGCCACGGCCACTTCGGAGGCACATGCTGCGCCGTGAGTCACTGCCACTTCTCACATGCCACCCGCCTCGACAACCCGTCCCGCCCGTGCAGGACGCACGCCGTTCCTTAGACAGAGCCCTGCATGTGGACGGGGGAAGCACACCGCCGGCACTTACTGGTGGGAGGGCAGGCCGAGCGGCCCAGGTACAGAAACCTCTGGCCATCCCCGTGGACCGAGACCCTCGCAGCAGCCCAGCCGGACGATAGCCGCCGACACTGCGCCCTGTTAGGGAGCTGCGTGCACACCACGTGGAGGCGTGTGCTCACGGCGGCATCTGAGGAACCAGAGGTCACCGTCATCCCTGCGTGAAGAGGAACGAGCAAACGGGCTCTGGCCACGAAACGCCGTCCCACGCAGCCACGTTCCCACGGGGCCACGGGGCCCGGCTTTCCGCACGATCCCCTCATGTGGAGCTCCGTCAGACACGAGAATGAGGACAGAATGCCTCAGAGCCACGGCCCGCCTGACACTGGGGAGTGGCCCGACAACAGGCGTGGCTCCCAGGCCTCTTCAGAATTACACTAACAGAAATGGGCGTGCCCGGCCACCCCCAGGGGCCCCGGCACCGGTGGATGCCCGGCGTTGAGTCTGGCAAGAGCAGAGCGTCTCTGCGATCGGAGAGATCGGTGTGAACCCTCACCCGCCCCCGCAAGCCGGGCACCAGCCTGATGCCCAGCCGGTCGGTGCAGGGAGACACGAAGGCAGGGGCCGTGTGGACCGCGTATCTGATACACGCTCAGCCCACGTCCTTGCCGCCTGGCCGTCTGAGCCCGTCTGAGCGCGCAGGAAGTCACCGCCCACTACTAGTGCCGCCACCTCTGTGAGCCGCCCGTCGAGCGGCCGAGCCCTGCCGAGCCGCGGCCCTGCCCCCGAACAGCCACGGATCACACTCCCAGGATGCCCTCGTGGCTCACAGGAGCGTGGAGGGTGTGGCCGCTCTGCGGGGCAGCAGTCGCCAGTGTTTTTAAGGAAAGACGAGTTTGAAGCTTCGTTCTCAGTTTGGAGGGAGGTCAAAGGGCCCTCGGCCCGCCCCGTCACATTCCTCGTTAAAGGGGGGCTAATGCTCAGATAAACGGGCCTCTGGTTCCGCGGCCCTCTCCTGCCGAGGACGGTGGCTGCTTTGTTTTCACAGGAGGCCCCTCGTGTGGGTGTCGCGCTGCGGACGGCGCTGTGTGGGGTTGGGGAGACTTTCCTGCCTAGGCGGCCGCCCGTGGGTGCAGGTCTCTGGCCTGCGCTGGCGTCACCCTGCGGGCGCGGCCCTCCTGGGCCCATGGCGGCTGCCCCGGCCCGCCCTGCTCCCTGTGTGCGTGTGGACACAGACGCCGTCCGGCTCCAGGGAATCGTTCCTTGTCGTTCGCTCTCCGGTTCGAGCTGTGCTGTTCCCTCCCCGAAGGTGTGGGCGAGCCCTGAGGCCCGGTGGTGGTGGTGGTGGTGCTGGTGCAGCCACCACAAGGCCGGTGGTGGTGGTGGTGGTGGCCCAGCCCAGCAGAGTCCAGGTGTGAGTGGCGGTGTGGCATCCGGTGAAACACGGCGGCAGCACTGTCACCGATGAGAGCGTGGCCCTCTCTTGGTGGTTTTCCCAGCCGCGGGCAGCTCTGCGTTCCCTGAACAAACACAGTTAATCACGGCCCGTGAGCACGCACAGGGCCGGCCGGCCCAGGCCCCGTGTCCCTGTTCTGAAGCGCCACGTTCTGTGTTGAATCAGGTGGAAACCGCCACGGACTCGGACACGGAGAGCCGCGGCCTGCGGGAGTACCACTCGGTCGGCGTGCAGGTGGAGGACGAGAAGAGGTAAGCAGCCCCTGCGAACTGTGGTGTGGCCGAACCTGGGCTGCGGTCAGGAGCCTGGTGGCCGGCTTCTCGGTCAGGCCGGTCATGGTGCTGTTGGCGGAAACGAGATACGCGGCTGGGGGTTGTGTGGCTGGTGCATGCGGGGCCCTCCTGGTGCCCGAGAGACTCCCGTCCCTGGGGCGTTGTCTAGACGGGGGGCAGGGGGCGGGGAGCCTTGGTTCTGCGGGGCCGCGTGGATGTTTATAACGTCATTCTCGGGTCACACACAGCATCCCCTTAAAGACGGCCTGCTCGGTCCGGCCCAGCCCTGAACCAGCTGACGGCTGCTGCCGTGGCCGGGCCAGACGAAGGATCTGTGGGCCTTCCTCAGCCCTCCGGCCGGGCGTCCACCTAGGAGCGGACCCTGGGACGCAGGGCGGTGTGGGGGGCCAGTCAGCGGAGTCCAGGGGTGGTGGGTGGAGGAGCAGACGGCGGGGAGCACGGGGTCCCCCGAGGCCCGTCTCAGAGGCCTCCCCTCCCCCCCTCCCTCGCCCCCTCCCGCAGGCACGGGCGCTTCAAGCGGTCCAACAGCGTGACGGCGGCGGTGCAGGCGGACCTGGAGCTGGAGGGCTTCCCGGGCCAGGTGACCATGGAGGACAAGGGCCTGCAGTTCGGCAACTCGTTCCAGCGGCACTCGGAGCCCAGCACGCCCACGCAGTACGGCGCCCTGCGGACGGTGCGCACGCAGGGCCTCTTCAGCTACCGCGAGGACTACCGGGCGCCCGCAGGCGCCGCGCCCCTGCCGCCGCCCGAGCCCTGGCTGGAGCCCGCCCTGGACGTGGCCGAGAGCGGGCGGGCGTCGCCCTGCCGCCGGGACGGCGCCTGGTTCCTGAAGCTGCTGCACGCCGAGACGCAGCGCATGGAGGGCTGGTGCAAGGAGATGGAGCGCGAGGCCGAGGACAACGACCTGGCCGAGGAAAGTAAGCCGGAGCCGGGCCGGCGGGAGGGCCTGGGCCTGAGGGGGTCCCTGGGGGTGATGGCTCCCACCTGTGCCCGGGAAGCCGCTGGTCCGTGGACAGGGACGTGCAGCTGAAACGTGGAAGGCCCGAGTCCCACGTGGTCAGGTGCCACGGCCGGTAGTGCGTCCTGGGTGCCACAGCCACGGGCCAGCCCCCAAGTCCAGGCAGCAGCTGGGCCTGGGTCCTCCCCACCGTCCTTTAGTTTGTTGCTGTCCTGGGTTAATAAGAAATAGCTTTGGCATCATTCCAAGCCGAGTCAGTGCTGAGTCTGGCCTGGGTAGAGCCGTGGTGGGCAAACTGTAGTTTGTGAGCCACATGCGGCTCTTTGGCCCCTTGAGTGTGGCTCTTCCACAAAATACCACGGCCTGGGCAAGTCTATTCTGAAGAAGTGCATTAGGAGAAGTTTAAGTTTAAAAAATGTGGCTCTCCAAAGAAATTTCAATCGTTGTGCTGTTGATATTTGGCTCTGTGGACTAAGGAGTTTGCCGACACTGCATCCGTCCAGGCCCCAAAGTGTCACAGTGCAGGTTCGATTCTGGTCAAGGGCACGTACCTCGTCTGCAGGCTCAATCCCACCCCAGTCAGGGTGCATGCGGGAGGCAACCAGTCGATGTGTCTCTCTCACAGCAATGTTTCTTTCTGTCTTCTCCCTTCCCTTCCCCTCTCCAAAAACACCGGGGAAACGCGTGTGGGGGAGGGAGATGTTTCTCTCTTTTCCGCGTCCATCTCCATCACGGAAAAGGAGACAGTCCTGTTGCTGAGTGGAGGAGCTGGGGATTAAGAAATTAAAGAAAGAAAGAAACAGCAGACAGAGAAATAGATTCATAAAGCTGGGAGCCAGGTGGGCGCCATCCTCTCTGATGGAGAGGCAGCAGGCACTGAGCCACACAGCATGTTTACTTTTATACCCAAAAATTCCAGGAAGTAACACCAAAACTTAGGATCAAAGCAGCTTATTTGCATTCTTAACTAGGCCTAGCATTATTGGATTTACATATCTAGACCCGCCCCTGCCGATACCTGGACAAAGATAAGTCAGAAACTGAATAACACCGCCCCCCTTGGGAGGGGGTGGTGTGTAACTGGGACAGGACTCTGCCAGTACCTGGGGCTCAGCTGACAGAATGTCCCTGTGCCTTCCCAGGGGGCCCTCCACATGTCCTGGGTGAGGACGGCTGAGGTCAGTGAGGGAGTGAGCTGAGGCCTGGGTGCAGCGGGAGGACTGGGAGGAGACGGTAATGCCACCCCTGAGCCTGTGGACCTTCCGGCCCCTGGTGTTCACTGCACCTCCCACAGCGACACACTGAGTGTGTGGCACGGGGCAGTGACGGAAGGGGGCGTGCGTAGGTCGGCGTGGACAGGAAGGGGCCGCGGGAACCTGCAGCGTCGGCCAGGGCAGAGTTGTTCTCAGCCACGGGGATCCTATGAGCAGTGAGGGGGAAGGCCATCTGGCTACTCACGCCCCCTAAAGCGTCGCCCTGCACCCCGCGCCCTCCTCCCTCCGCCAGCGCTGGCGTGCAGATGCACTCCCAGGGGAGGAGATAACAGATATCCGAGCGGCTTCCTCCCGATCGGCTCCCTCACCGTGAGCTCGCAGCCGGCACGGGGCCGGGAGGGAGGCACGCTCCTGTGTGTGTGCACACCGCCTCTCCCGGCCCAGAGCACAGCCTCGGCCCGGAGAAGGAAGGCTTCCTGCTTACATGCCCCTTTCCCATCACATTGATGTCACATCATATGGTTATTGATGCCAGAGAGGAAAGGAAAGAGAGAGAGAAACACCCCTGATGGGAGAGAATCAGGGACCAGCTGCCTCCTGCACGCCCTGCCCTGGGGATGGAGCCGCAACCCGGGCCTGTGCCCTGACCGGGAATCGAACCCAGGACCCTTCAGTCCCTGGTCCAACTCGCTATTCACTGAGCCACACTAGCCAGGCTGCAGCACCTTCGTAAACCGAGCTCCTCCCCACGCTGACGAGGGCGTTGGGACTGTTGACAGGTGGTGGCCTGTGAGTGTCCCTCGAGCTGGGGGAATGAAAAGCACCCGGCGGGTGGGCAGTAAAGGGGCGTCCTCACCCCGCGGCGGGGGCACCTGCTCCCGGTGTCCTGCCGCCCTTGCTCAGCGCTCTGTCTGTGCCCGCAGTCCTCGGCAAGATCCGCAGTGCCGTGGGCAGCGCCCAGCTCCTCATGTCCCAGAAGTTCCAGCAGTTCTACTGGCTCTGCCAACAGAACCTGGTGAGTAGCCGCCACTCCTTTACCCCCGCCCCCCGCCCCCCCGCCGGGCAGCGCTGCGAGCTCCTCCCCATCCCCCCTGTCTGGCTCGGTAAAGATGCTCCCTCCGCAGACAGAGCGAAGAGGGCACCGCCCAGCTCTGGAGGTTCCGAGGGGCGCCCCAGGCCCGGAGACTGTGAGGCTGGGAGTGGTGGAGGGGCGGGCCTGCAGGAGCCGGTCTTTGCCCCAGGCGGTCCCCAGACCCTGGGGCGGGAGAGGGGTCTGGGTGGCTGCTCAGAGACTCACGGGCACAGACAAGGGTAGGAGGTGGCTTCCGTGAAATACACAAACAACTCCCTTTAAAGAGACAAAGAAGAGATTTTAGCAATAACGTGGGCTCTATATTTTACTAGCGGCCAATGCACACAATCCGTGCCGGCGCAGGCCTTCCTCCCCCACTGCCGGCTCCGGCTCCTCCGGCACCCACCACCTGGGCTTCCCTCGCAGCCCGGCTTCGTCCGGAAGGAAGTCCGGCCTGATTAGCATAGTACATTTTTATTTTTGACAGTCAGGGGCGAAATGAATATCGCATTGAACTTGAGAGTTCATACGGTTGGCACTAAACTTGGTTCTGATCTCCCTGAAAACCAGAGGGAAGAAAAGCCATTCATTTACATGTAGTGTCCCCCAAACCGGACTTTGCACACTCTCTGAATAACTTCATTAAAATGCATGCCAGCATAGCCAGGGTGGTGCGTGCTTGGGTATTGACCTGTAGCCAGGAGGTCACGGTTTGATTGTCAGTCAGGGCACAGGCCTGGGTTTCGGGCTTGATCCCCAGTAGGGGGCGTGCAGGAGGCAGCCGATTCATGGTTCTCTCTCATCATTGGTGTTTCTATCTCTCTCTCCCCCTCCCTTCTTCTCTGAAATCAATGATAATGTATTTTTTAAAAATAAAATAATATACGTTGCATTTTCAAAATGGAGCTATCTGTTGTTAAAGTGTGTACACATTTTTGGGGACACCCTGTATGCATATTAATATACCAGAGGCCCGCCCAGTGCACGAGATTTGTGCCCTGGGGGGCGAGGGGGGCCTCAGCCGGGCCTGCACCTACTCACAGTCCAGGACCCCTCACAGGGTGTCCGCCTGCCAGCTGGGCCAGGTCCCTCAGCCCCCTGGGCTGGCAGGCAGACACCCCTCTGACAGTCCGGGCCCCTCACCCCTTTCTGCCCGCCGGCAGCCGGGACAGGAGAGGCTCCCACCACCGGCGCGCGGCTCGCCGGCCGACTGGCTGAGCGGGCTCCCCCTGTGGGAGCGCACCGACCACAGGGCCAGCTCCTGCAACGAGCGTCTGCCCCCTGGTGGTCAGCGCACATCAGAGTGGCTGGTCGTTCTGCCCTTCGGTCCATGTGCCTGTTACGCTTTTATTATACAGGACGTGTTTATATTATATATGCTTTCTTTCATGTAAATGTTTCTACGTCTAAGCGTGTTACACAATCTCACATAAATGCGTACACACCCATGTATAAGCGCATGCGAGTGTCTGGCACCTGCCCACGTTTCCTGTCTGACTAAGGACGTGCTCGCTGGGGGAGTGACTGACGGATTCCTGTTAGCGTGCGGCCTTCTGCGATGCAGACGTTGATTCCTCAGACCAGATACCCATTAACATGCAAATCGCTTCCCGCTGCAGGGGGCAGGGGCGGTGGGGGCCGGGGGGGGGGCAGTGGGGGTGATGGTTTCGTTCAGGCTGTAATCTGCGCGGAGACGGGGAACGCACAGGGTGTCCGAGACATCAGAGCGAGCGGAGCGCCCGCGCTGCAGTCTGTCCCTTGTGACTGGGATCGTCTGAAGCATGCTTTCTCTAATATTTTCCAATTAACCCCGTGAGAGTGCGCCGCGAAGTGCCACCGCCTCGCTGTGACAGGAGGTGGCGGTGGAGACACGTGACGCGGCGGGAGCGTGTGCTCCCGTGTTTACAGGCGTGTCGCTGCCTCCCTGTCAGCCCCTCAGTTCCCGGTGAAGGAGCGGGTCAGTGAGAGCCGTGGCCGGTGGCTGCCCCTGGGCGGGAGCGCCTGGGTCCTCCCGTGTCTCTCCTCAGACGCGGCCGTGCCAGTGCCCGCCCCGCGGCCGCCCGGCTCACCCTCAGGCTCTGGCTGCGTGCCCGGGCGCCCGCCCTGTCCGCACGCCGGCACGGAGAGGGGGAGCGGGCGGCGGCGTCCCGTCAGGCGCGGGGGCCTGCGTGGAGGCAGCGCCACGGGGACGCTCGGCGGTTGGCTTTGCCGGTTGGCTTTGCCGGGGCAGGGCCTGGCCTGGCCCCGTGGCGTTTATGCGAATCCGTCAGCGCACGGGGACTGACGGGGACTGGAATGTGCACCCCTCCGGGCGCCGGGCCTGGCTGTGCCGGTTGCCACGCGGCACCCCCTGCTCCCAGGGCCCCGGGCCCGCCTGTCGGCCCAGAGCCCACTGCGAGGACGATGTCTGCCCTGGGGGCAGGGCACCTGGACTGCGGGCGCCAGGACCAGAGCCCGGTCTTCAGAAAAGGACGGCCCGCCCGCGTCAGAGGGGACACGGCCAGCTCCCGGGGACACCGATGAGGACCGAGCGGGCCAGGGGCCCTGACCTCCCTGGGGCCGGGTGGTGGGTCTGACGGCCGCACGGTCACCGAGGCGACGGCCAGGGCTGAGCGGACACAGGAGGGAGGGCACCGGTGCCAGCTGTGCTGCAGCCTGTGTCAGGGCTGCGAAGGGCACGGGCGCCCCCCGGTGGCGCAGAACTGGAACCGCCTCACACAGAAAACAAGACACAGCCAGCCTGGCAGGAGGGCTGGGAGGGCCCAGGGCAAGTCCCTGGCAGCTGCCCTCTGGCTGCTTCCCACAGAAAGGGGCTGGGGTCAAAGGGGTCATTTTTGACCGTGGCCAGTGTTGCTCAGTAGTTAAAGCAATAGAAACATGTCCTCAGGTGAGGATTAACAGCAAAAAAGGTGAGCAGCCCTGGTTGGTGTGGCTCAGTGGATAGAGCGTCGGCCTGCGGACTGAAGGGTCCCAGGTTCGATTCTGGTCAGAGCACATGCCCGGATTGCAGGCTTGATCCCCAGTGGGGGGTGGGGGGTGCAGGAGGCAGCTGGTCAATAGTTCGCTCTCTTTGATGTTTCTATCTCTCTCTCCCTCTTTGAAATCAACAAAAAATATATATTTTTAAAGTGATCTTTTTTTGCCTGGCTAGTGTGGCTGAATGGTTGGACACCGACCTATGAACCAGGAGGTCAGCGTTCAATTCCCGGTCAGGGCACAGGCCTGGATTGTGGACTCGGTCCCTTGTAGGGGGCGTGCAGGAGGCAGCTGATCAATGATCCTCTCATCATTGATACTTGTATCTCTCTCCCTTTCTCTCTTAAAAAAAAAAAAAAAAAAAAAAAAAAAAAAGTGATCACTTTGTTTCCAAACTCAGGTGTCAGAATCCCGACCCCAGAGGGATGGGGTCGTGAGGCGGGGCTTTGGGGTCAGCAGGTCGGGAGGCACAGGGGCAGTGTCTTCGTTAAATGGACCCCGAGCTCCCTCCTCCCCCACGTGAGGCCTGGAGGAGGGGAGCACCGTGTGGACGGGGAAGAGGGCTCATGGCACAGACGCCGCGGCACCTCGCCCCTGGCTCAGCCTCCAGGGAGAGTCCGTCTGCGGCCGGGAGCCGGGCCCTCTGCCTGTGCCATGTGCCCACGCAGACCAGAGCCGCAGAGGCAACTCAAACCAGACCGAGCCGAAGGCCCTTTGTGCTCCCGGCGGCGATGAAGAGGAGGCCGAGGACCCACAGCTTAAGCAGCTCAGAGGAATGTCTCCCCACAGGAAGTCCCTGTGTGACCAGGGGGGCCCTGGCCGATCGGAGCCATGTGCTTCGCCGGGGCTGCGAACTCAGGCGCCTCCCGCAGGCAGGCCCAGTGCGGAGGCAGGGCCTGGGCCCTGGGGCTGCGGGCGGGCGGGCGGCAGGGCCAGCCCTCTGGGGAGCGAGCGAGGCTCAGCTTGAATGCAGACAATAGCTCCTGCCTGCCTGTCCCGCAGGCTTGGGAGAGGGAGCACCGCGGTGGGGCCCCCTGAGCGAGGCCCGGCCAGAGCCGCCGGTCCCCTCGGGGTCTCGCCCGGCCGGCCCTCAGAGCAGCAATGGCCCCTTGTCCGGTCGCTGTGTGGGAGGCAGGGGGCGAGGCCGGCCCTGTCCCCACCGCGGTGCAGCAGGTCCTGTGCGGGCACCAGCTCCCCTCCCCGCGCACCGGCCCGCGGCTCCAGCACGGGGGAGCCGGGAACGCTGTGCCCTCGCCACCTTCCTCCAGGCCCAGTGAGCGCCCGGGGTGCGATGTGGCCGAGGCGGCGTCTGCACGTTCTCAGTAAGCTGCATTAACATGGAGAGCGTTTTAGGTTCGCGGCCGCGCTGAGCGAAAGGCCAGAGATTCCCCCCCCACCCCCCCACCCCCTGCACGGCCCTCACACCCACCCCTCAGGCGGACACGCCATGGTCCCCGCGGGCTGGGACAGACGTGTGATGGCGTGTGTCCGTCGTCACCTCAGAGCCCACACCCTCCGGGCTCCCCCTCTCCCTCCCCCGTCCTGCCTCTGTCCCCCCAGTTCCGTCTCCCCCGGGGAGGCCACACAGCTGGAGTCACACCACGTGTAGCCTTCCCATCGTGTTTTTGAGAAATGCACCGTATCACAGACAGGAGGGAATGGCGGAAGGGAAGACGGGCGCAGTCGTGAGCTGTGAGGGCGGAGACACGGCGGAAGCTGAGGTCACGCCTGGAGGAGAGGGGGGCCGGGGCGGGGGGCGGGGGGCAGCCAGGCAGGCACTGCGGCGGCTGAGGTCACACCGGGGAGCGGGAGGAGACCGCGGCTGCCCTGGCCTCCCTCTCTGCCTGTATGCGGCCTCCGCCCCATGTGCGGCCTCCAGGCGCAGCGGGACCGGCAGGGCCTGCCGAGCCGGTGCGACCGGGCGCTGCCGTCCGGGAAGAGCGCGGTCGTGGTCATGGCGTCAGAGCCGCAGGTGCAGCCGAGCAGGCCGCGCGGCTCGCTGAGTCAGAAGGACAGCCGCGTGTGAGTGGACGCTGAAGGTCTTTGCTCACCGCCCGCCGCTGTCAGCAGGAGGGGGCATAGCTCAGGGGCAGAGCATTTGACTGCAGATCAAGAGGTCCCCGGTTCGAATCCGGGTGCCCCCTCGGGAGCCTTTTCCCGTTCTGACCGGTCCCGCCCGCCCCGCTGTGTTCCAGGACCCCGGCGCCATGCCCAGGCCCACCTCGCAGGACCTGGCCGGCTACTGGGACATGCTGCAGCTCTCGGTGGAGGACGTCAGCATGAAGTTCGATGAGCTGCAGCGGCTGAAGCTCAGCGACTGGAAGCTGACGGCGTCCCCGGAGAGGAAGGTGAGTGAGCGGGGCCCACGCAGAAGCGGCTGGTCATGCGGGATCGTGTGTGCACACGTGTGTATGTGCACGTGCACGTATACGCTGGGATGCAGTTCAGATCACTGACCATCTGCAGTGGCAGCCTCCCTGCCGAATCTCGGTCGGGAACAGTCCAGAGCAGACGCTGACCGGACTCCCAGGTCCGTCTCGCCCGCTCCCCGCACGGTCTGTCCGCGGAGTTATTTTCACACTAAGAGGCCCCCACAGGCTGCCAGGCCGTCTGCTCCGGATAAGCCTCCTGGCGGGGCTGCACGCCTGCACTTCACCACAGACCGTGGTGAAGGCATGTCCTGGCGGCGGGCGGCGGGGCCCTGCGAGCAGGCGGCATTTCTGCTACCCCCGAGCCTGGGAGCGATTTCTCCACGAGAGAGACGCCGCGCCCTGGGCTCCCGCGGGGGCTGCCTTAGCAACGAGTGCGGCGTCCCTGCCGCTCCTCCAGGAGCTCTGAGTGATCAGTCTGATGTCCTAGACCGACATTGTTCAAACGCAGTGACAGGGAGTCAGTGCAGCAGACACGGGGCAGTGATTAATGCAGAGCCGGGGCAGGGGGGGGGGAGCAGAGCTGGGGGGGCAGAGCCGGGGGGGCAGAGCCGGGGGGGTGACAGAGCCGGGGGTGACAGAGCCGGGGGGGGCAAAGCCGGGGGGGGGCAGAGCCGGGGGGGCAGAGCCAGGGGTGACAGCCGGGGGGGTGACAGAGCCGGGGGGGTGACAGAGCCGGGGGGGGCAGAGCCGGGGGGGGCAGAGCTGGGGGGGGCAGAGCCGGGGGGGCAGAGCCAGGGGTGACAGAGCCGGGGGGGGGCAGAGCCGGGGGGGGCAGAGCTGGGGGCAGAGTGGCGGGGTAGACTGGGGCGGGAGCTGAGGGGGGAGCAGAGCTGGGGCAGAGTTGGGGGGGGCAGAGCCGGGGGGGACAGAGCCGGGGGGGGCAGAGCTGGGGGGGGCAGAGCTGGGGGCAGAGCTGGAGCAGAGCAGAGCTGGAGCGGAGCAGAGCTGGGGGCAGAGCTGGGGGCAGAGCTGGGGGGAACAGAGCTGGGGGGGGAGCAGAGCTGGGGGCAGAGTGGGGGGGTAGAATGGGGCGGGAGCTGAGGGGGGAGCAGAGCTGGGGGGGCAGAGCTGGGGCAGAGCTGGGGCAGAGCTGTGAAGATGAGGAAGATGGTTATAATAGAGCCCTGGGCGCGGAGCCTGCTGAGCGGCTCTGACCTGATGGGAGGGAACCCAGCCCCGCCTGCAGCGCGGCCCTGAGGACGCTTCCAGCCAGGACACAGCTCCCGGAGGCCCAGGAGCCCCGTGCGAGGGACACCCTCACAGGACCGGCCCGTGGCCCCGTGGCCCAGAGGCCCAGAGGCAGCCACGGCCCGAGCTGAGGCGGGAATTAAATAGATGGAGACCGAGGACACGCCGCTGCGCGTGTGCAGACCTGCGCATGTGCCAGCCTCCCCCCAGCCCACGCATGTGAGGGGACACGCGTGTACGTGCGGGCAGGCCGAGGGAGGGGGCGGGGGCCCTGACGCCCTCGCTGTGTGTGCTTTCAGGAAGAGCGGAAGGTGCCCCCTCCGATACCAAAGAAGCCCCCCAAAGGGAAGTTCCCCATCACGAGGGAGAAGTCCCTGGACCTGCCGGACAGGCAGCGGCAGGAGGCCCGGCGCCGCCTGCTGGCCGCCAAGCGGGCCGCGTCCTTCCGCCAGAACTCCACGGGCGAGCGCGCCGACAGCATCGAGATCTACATCCCCGAGGCCCAGACGCGGCTCTAGGAGCGGCCCCTGGTCACAGCCCCGGCCACAGGCCCCGGCCCTCTGGGCCCGCCCGCCCGGCCGCCCGCAGGCCGGCCTTTCTAGCTCCCGGACGCACGGATGGTGGCGGGCGGGCAGTGGGGACCTCGCAGGAGCAGGACACGCCTCTGCGGAGGGACCGCCCACATTTTGTTATTTCTATTTTTATAAACCGTGAGGTAATCAGAGGCAAGAACAACAAACACGTTCAAACGGGTGCATCTCCCCCTCCCTGGAGGCACTGCCCCCCGCGGCCCCCCCCCCCCGCCGCGCAGGGAGACCCCGGGCGCTCCCGGGCCCGCGACCAGCCCTCCTCTGTGTGCCAAGTGTGTGGTGACCGCGAGAAGGCACCCTCAGCCACTGCCCCACGTGTGTCTCCACGACCCAGAGGCCGGTCTGACCCGGGAAGGCCCCGCACCATCGGCACGCGAGGCGCTCCCTGCACGGGAGGGGAGGGGAGGGGAGGGGAGAGACACGGGTGGAGGCGGGGTCCGGGCGGCGGGCGCTCCCGTGGCGGGCCGTGGCCGGCGTCCCCGCCCGCCGCGTGGGGCTCAGACAGGACGTGTGGCGGCTGTCGGAGGGCCACGGGCCGCCCTGGAGAAAACCAGCAACGTGGAGCGGGAAGGACCGCGTGACGGGGAAGGCGAAGGGACGGGCCGGGCCAGCCTCATCGCGCAGAGAGGAGAGCGCAGACCCGGCCCTGGCCGCCCGCCGGCCGCAGCTGCAGCCGGGACAGCGCTGAGGGCTCAGGCTCGATGGGCTCTGAGCAGCAGGAAGGACTCTCTCGAAGGCTCCGTTTGGCGTCCATGTCACCACAGCGACTGTCATGGCAGAAGGACAGGCGGCCGCTGTCAGAGGAGAAATGGAACCACCACCCCCACTGGTCCCCGCCCCCTGGGACAGGTGTCCGCGCCCCACACCGTCCTCCGCCCGCCCCCGGCAGGTCTCCCTCCCCTCCCTGGCAGAGCCGCGTCCGCCCCACGGGGCACCCTGTCCGCCCCGTGACTCGCACTTTAGCCGCCCCCAGCTCTGTGCCCCGGCACCTGCCCAGGTGCAGTGAGGGCCCCCCCGCCCCCGCACCGAGCATGGGCGCCTCGGAGCCGGGGGACACCACGCATGTCTGTCTCGCTTCAGTTTTATTTTTAAAGCTGAGTCGCTAAGAACTCCCTGTAAGAGCAGCACCCTGTACAGTGAAGCTCATATCCGGTATATAGTTTACCAAACAGCCTTAAATATATTTGGAAGCAAAAATCAGTACGAATGTATATCCTTGAAAATGCAAAAAAAGTAATACTAATAATACTATCTCCCCGGAATATTCTTCTACCGGGAGCCCTGTCTCCCCGGAGCATCCGAGCGCTTTTTCTACCTGAATGAACACCTGGCCGAGCCACGTGCTGCCACGAGGCCGTCTGTGCCCCCGTGGGAGCCACAGCGGGGGCCGCCCGGGCCCGTCTCCCGGCCGCGCCCTGTGCCACGCGTGTGCTGACGGATTCTGCGATCGGAGAACTCGTGTTTGCTTTGGACCCAGGCGCTCTGATCCCGACCCCAACGGACGGACTCCCTGGGTTTAGTTTCGGTTTTTTATGTTTTGTAGACATTTTTATCCAGAACCACCCCTCCCCCCCACACCCACACACAGTGTTGGCCTCGACCGCTCGGAGGCGAACAGCTTAGCCAACCCCAGAATGTGGCGAGGCCTGCTGGGCCCCCCGAGGTCCCACAGACGGCTGTGGGACAGCGGAGCGTCCACCGCCCGCCCCCGCGGCAGCCCCTCACGAATGCAGAGAGAAGCCATGTCTACGCACTCACCTGTAGAGAGAAATAAAGCCGTTTGGAATACATGCTCGTCAGTCCAGCTCGTTTGTCCCCGCGGAGACCCAGCTCCGGGGTCCCATCCCCACTCCCCTGTCCCGTGAACCCCCAGCCAAGGACGAGCTGGTTCTTGGAGCGTGGACGGGAGTGGGGAGGCGGAGAGAGAACCACCCATGTGGCACAGACGCAGTGACCGCTGCCTCCCGTCCGGGCCCGCCGGGGAGGAGCCTGCCGCCCAGGTACGTGCCCTAGGCCGGAGTTGAACCCGGGACCCTTCAATCCGGGGGCCGGTGCTCTATCCACCGACCCACACCGGCCAGGGCCGGGCCCCCACTTTGTGGAGCGTCGGGAGGGACGGGGGAGGGTCTGGCCAGAGGCCTGGGGGTCGCAGGACAGCGCTGCCCGCGGCTGGCTGAGGCTGACCGGCTCCCAGGACTGAACGGTCAGAGGGTCCCGCCCGCCATGTCTGCGTCCGCCTGGCATCCGTGGTGCCGGGTCCGTGGTCTCGGCGGGGGAGGCAGGACCCCCACAAGCATGTGCTGACCGGTCCCCGCGAATGTGGACGTGTGGCCAGGAACTGCCCTGCACCCCCTCGCCCCCCAAAGACTGGGCCGGCCCCGCCCGGGAGCGTGGCTTCGGGCCCGGGACGGGCCCCACGGCTCCGTCCTCCACGGCCACGCGGCTCGGCCCCGGCGTGTCCTCTCTCCCGGGCGTGGGCCTCCTCTGGCCTGCCTTCCCGCGCCGCCCACGGGGCCGCCCGCCCGCGGCCTGGCCCGGGGGTTTGCTCGCGTGTCTGCACCTCCGTCCGCCCCGTCTGGGTGGAGCGCAGGTCCAGACTCCGAGGTGGAGACCCGCAGCGTGGGCGGCCGGGCGGCGGGACCCCTGAGTGCCCGTCCCTCTCCTCCCTCCTCCGCGGGGCCCGGCTGTCCTGTGACCGCTGCCGGGATGGCGGGACCCACAGGGCAGGGCCCTCTGAGCTCATGCGAATTGAGCTCGGCGCCGTGGCCACAGCCGACAAAGCGCCTGCTTCTGGCCAGACAGCGGCCAGGGGACCCACGGCGGGGCGATCTGCCCCGGACTCTGTTCGTGTGGGAAGGTCAGTGACGCCGCTCTCCGGGGGCGAGCACAGGGCAGGCGGCGGCTGAGGGGGCCGTGGTCCCGTCCACGGCTGGCGGGCGGGGCACGCCTCGCAGGGCAGGACCAGCCGGACCCGGGCCCGGCCGGCGCCGAGGAGGGTCCTGAGGGTGTGCAGGTGGAGAAACAGCCTCCGGGCACTGCCCGCTGCTTCTGGCTCAGAGCTCAACCTTCCGGATGTTTCCAGGAGCCGGAAGCAGGCGCTCCGCGATGCAGCGATGCGCTCGCCGCGGCTGGAGCCCGCGGGTGCCCTGCACACCGGAGTGACCAGGGCCCGAGGCACGGCTCCGGGGGGGGGGGGGGGCATCGACCTGCGAACCAGGAGGTCCGGGTTCGAGTCCCGGTCAGGGCACAGGCCTGGGTTGCGGGCTCCGTGACCAGCAGGGGGCGTGCAGGAGGCGGCTGATCCCTGATTCCCTCTCATCATGGCTGCTTCTCTCTCTCCCTCTCCCTTCCTCTCGGAGGTCAGTACGTGCTCACCACACTGTGCTCGTTCCACTCCAAGGGCTCGGCGTGTCCTCCCTCCGTCCGCGGCTTGGCTCCTGGGCTCGAGCGGCGGGCCCGGGACCACCTTCGACCTCTCAGTTCCCGCAGTCCCCCGGGGGCCGGCTCGGCCCCCCCGCGGCCCCGAAGCCTCCGGAGGATCCGCGGGCCAGGGAGGGCCGGACACCAGCTGCCCCGGGGTCAGAGTTTTTACTAAAGCCTATAAATAAGTAAATATGTGAATATAAATATGTAAAGATGTAAATATGTACATATGTACCGCACCTGCGAGACCCCGCACGCATGGAGGGCGCCCTGTCGTTCTGCTCACGCTTTCCCGGCTCCGCGGATGACTTCTGCCAGGGCCTGCAGTCCCGTCGGGGCGAGCAGTGTGGCCCCCTACCCCCATGGCCCCGCTCCCCTTACCCCTTCTGGTCAGATCCGGCGAGTCCGTCTGTCCTTTAGGGCCGCGAGGGGCTGCGTTCTGGGGCCCCTGTCCCTCGGGCCGGCTCTCCCCGCGTCCGTCACGGAGAGCGGCTCACGCGCCCCCCCCACCGTGGGCCTCTGTGCCTCGCACTCACGTTCCACGCCTGTAAGCGGTTCTGCCATTAAACTTCTGGGAAGCAATGTTCACTCTTCATTGGTGTGAGTTCTGTGTCATTTTATCGCGGAGAAACACGGCCGTGCGGACCGGAGAGCTTTCCGAGGGCGGCACCGCCCCATCGCCCGCCTCCTGTCCAAACGGCCCCGTGTCTGCCCGTCAGAACGCACCCGTCACCACGCCACGGCGCTCAGCGACCTGGTCTTCACGGCTGGCTGTCCCGACTCCGGAGGAGCCACGGGAAGAGAGTGCTGGGTGACCCGTGGGTGCGCCCCCTCTCCCAGCTCAGGGCAGCCTCGAGCGCCAGGGCCTGCCGTCCGAGTGTCCCCGCTGCTCACCGCCCTCCTGGCAGCTGCCCCTCCCATCAACGTGCCCCTGAGCCCGCCCACCTTCTCCTGCCCATGGCCATCCCTGCCCGTGGCCGTCCCTGCCCATGGCCGTCCCTGTTTGTGGCCGTCCCTGCCCATGGCCCCGTGGCCATCCCTGCCCATGGCCGTCCCTGCCCGTGGCCGTCCCTGCCCATGGCCCCGTGGCCGTCCCTGCCCATGGCCATCCCTGCCCGTGGCCGTCCCTGCCCATGGCCCCATGGCCGTCCCTGCCCATGGCCATCCCTGCCCGTGGCCGTCCCTGCCCATGGCCCCGTGGCCATCCCTGCCCATGGCCGTCCCTGCCCGTGGCCATCAGGGCGAGCTCCCTGCATTCTCTCCACCGGCTCTGGCCTGGGAGGCCGGGAGGGGAGGGACAAGGTGCAGAGAAAAGTCTCTGGTGAGTGCCCATGTCTGACCCCGCCCCGGGGAGTCACACAGGTGCTGCTCCGGACACCGGGTCAGGGCCCTCGGGGGCCGAGTCCACTCAGGAATCCCTCCAGGGGCTCGCTTTCCAGCCGGGAGGAGCCAGGGCTCAGCGTGCAGGGCGTGTGGCCAGCGTCCCAGGCTCCACAGACCCTGCTCCTCCGGAGCGCGGACACCAGCCCGAGGGGGGCTGCTCCCGCAGTGAGACTGGACGGCCCGGCGTGGCCTGGTCCCGTGGCACCGCGCTCAGGTCAGTGAGAGCCCGCGGTGCGGGTGGACCTCGCCGCCATCGGGGGGATGTGGGGAGGGGGAGGGAGAGAGGGAGGCGAGGGCTCTGACCTGGCCTCCCCACTTGTCCGTGAACCCCAACGCTCCCCGGGTCGGCTGTGACTTAAAAACGACAACCTTGCCGAAGCCGGTGTGGCTCAGTGGACAGAGCGTCGGCCTGCGGACTGAAAGGTCCCGGGTTCGATTCCGGTCAAGGGCATGTACCTTGGCTGCGGGCACATCCCCAGTAGGGGGCGTGCAAGAGGCAGCTGATCGATGATTCTCTCTCATGGATGTTAATACTC